TCAGGTGGATCTGCTTCACCAACAAGTCCTGACCATCTTCCAGTCCAAGGAGATTCCATACTTCATCATGGCAAGGATGGCGTCGGATGGCTACCGCTCGGTGGAGGACCTTGCCGATCGATGGCCCACCATCACGGAGGCCCGGAACAACTCTCCAGCAGACCTCCAGTTCCGTCACACAGACTGTGGGGGAGCTCTGATCACACAAGAGAAGACGAATCACTTGGCCATGCGCATCTCACAATGTGTCCGTCAAGCACAGCAGTTGTTGGGCACTGGGGGCCTGAGCCAGGGCCGAGTGGGACCCGCAGGACTACTACAGACGACACCACAGGTGGCGCCCTCACTGGATGCCCTGTGTGATCGACGCCAGCTCCTACAGACATGGACTGTGGTTGTCCAGCTCCCAATCCCACGATTGGAGGATCAAGGCTCGGATGCCCTGTTGAAGAAACAGTTCAAACTCTGTGCGCAAGGAGAAGTTGGCTGGATTGCCAGCAAGTACATCATATCAGCCCTACCAGATCAGGATGAGCGGCCTATCAAGACCACCAAGAAGGTGACGGTCGATGGATGGGAAAAGGAAGAAGAGGAGGAGACACGGAAACTCCCAACTACGAGGCGTCAGTTGGAGCACATGCACCTGGTCTTTCGAACCAACCTCCTCATGGCCATCCTCTCCTTTCCCAGCATGCCGAAGTTGAACATCACCCACAGGGACCTAGAGGACTGGTACCGATGGTTCTGGGGGAAAGACATTGCGGACAGGAGACCGCCACCTAGTGAACAGGTTCTCCTCTATGCTGAAAGGAACGCATGGAGGGAGATTCACAACTTGGTCTACGGGGGACTGGGTCTCAAGGAGGCCATGGCCCAACTACGTCAGGACACCCTGTTTTGGACCAGAGAGGTCTATGAGTCTGTCGCCCGGCAGAAAGGCAACAAAGGCTCCGGGCCTGACTCCCCAACACGGCCAGCCAAGTCCAAGGGACGCAACCCTTCGTGGTCACCAACTCAGCCACAATGGAACAAACAAAAAGGATCACCCAAAGGGGGTAAGGCTAAAGGGGCCATGGGATCCGGAAAAGGGAAGGACTCTGAATGGCCTTCAAACTGGGCTAAGATCTCACCCAAGGGAGTGCAGTACTGCCGTGACCACTTCCTCAAGAAGAAATGTCCTGGGAACTGCGGACGCTCCCACAACTGTCCGGTCCTTAAGAATGGCTGGGTATGCAACGCCGCGCCCTCAGAACACAACCCAGAGCAATGCCCACACCGTTGACTCTTGGCGGATCCGGTAGCGTCTTGCACCGATCACCCACCAAGGTTGATGGACACCCCAACACCAATCAAAAACCAAGCAACAACGGAACCGGGGAGATCTCCTCCAGGTTACCACAACGGCACAAGCACACCACATTCACAGCAAGAGGCCGTGGGCCGACCACTTGACAACAACAATGACCATGGATGGACAGTCCCTGCTTGGGCACTGTCCATGGCTCTCATCGGTTCCGAACAGGCTGTTGGAACGCCTTGTATGGACCACACAACCCACGGCTAGTCTCCAAGGGAGGACATACTACTCCTCTACACTGGCCGGAGTGACGGAGGGGCCTTGGATGACATACTCATCCAACAACACCAGGACCTGGCCCCCAGGCTCCTTGCCGTGGATATCCTGAGGCCACCAGAAAAGGGCCCAAACGACATACTGGAGGATGAGTTTTACTCAACTCTCTGCTGCGCCGCCGTGGGGGGCCAGTTGTCATTTGTGGGGGGCGGCCCCAACTGCCGGACCTGGAGCATCCTACGATGGTTTCCAAAGCCTGGAGCGCCCAGGCCAGTACGAGGGCGTGATCCCTCCCAGACATGGGGACTCGACTCAAATTCCCTGGAAGAACAGTTGGACACAGACAAGGACAGTATCCTTTTGCTCCGGCAACTGGTCATCACTGCCCTAGCCTCAAAAGCCAGGCAACACAAAGGATTCCACTCGTTCTTGGAACACCCTCGTGACCCAGCGGAGTGTAGTCGGGCACCAACGGCGGCAAAATGTTCATCGGTATGGGCCACCGGAGTCTATCAGGAGTGGGCCAAAGAGGTAAATCACTGTCAGATCCACCTGGACCAGTGTAGACTTGGACAAAGGGCACAGAAGAGTACGACCTTCTCAACGGACCTTCCAATTCACCATTGGCAAGGCCTCCAGTGCAACCATTCTGAACACCTGAGGCCATTGGCGATGACCTCCCGGGACCTCAGCAGATACCCGCCAGCACTGATGGCAGGGCTGGCAGCAGCAATCATCCAGAGCATTCCAAACACAGGACATCCATCCACCGGATGTCAACAGGAAGGGGAGCCTCCTGGTCGGACAGACCGCTCCTCATCGGTACCCCTTTCCCAGACGATGACTTTGGATGACGACCCGATCATCGTTCAATCAGGCTTCAAGACTAGACCCCTACGTGATGGAGGCGGTAAGCCCTCAGCCGGGAGACGACCTCCCCCGCTCAGACCTCAGTCCAAGATCAAGCACATTGGAGACTCCATCAGCCACCTGGCAAAAGGATGTGCACAGGACGTCCAACAGTCCATCAACAGGGGTGAGAGAAAACATCCGTTCTCTAAGGAGCTTCTTCAGGAGACACGGCGGGCCATTGCCCAAGAGATTGGGCTGGACCACCAACTTGCTGAGGAGATGGAGCCAGGCCAGCCGTTCTACCTAAACCTCATCTCAGCCTTAGCGGAAGCTGGTGGAGATGCAGACGCAGCCTACCCCACAAGGGTTGCCAAGGGAGTCCCATTAGGTGTCACCACACCTACCTGGACGTCACCGGGTATATGGCCTACAAAGGAAGAACTCAAAGGAGAATCCCCTCTGTGGGAGGACCTCCTAATACCCATGGGCCGGGACAACTACCCCTCGGCCAAAGATTTCTCCTCCCAGGTCAGACAGACCTTCGTGGAAGAGGTAGACATGGGTATGGTTGAAGGCCCACTCACACAGGAGGAGGCCGCCCTCCGCTGTGGATGCACCCCAGATGAACTCTGCCCAGGGCCCCTGGCAGCAATTGATGAAGGAGATAAAATCCGCACAATTTACGACGGAAGCTGGGGCCATGCAAACTCACACATCCAACAAAACACAGTTGAGAAGACCACTGCACCCACAGTGATGGACTGTGTTCAAGCCATTCACTGGCTAACCACCAAGAAGGAGAAGACATCTGGGACGGTAGCGTCTTGCACCGACCTAGCATGGCAACCTCCACACAAACAAACCACCTGGGCGCTCTTGAAAGCAGATGTTTCAAAAGCACACCGCCGCATCAAGGTCCAATCCAACGAATGGCGCTACCAGGTAGCACAACTTGATGGCGAATGGTGGATAAACAAGGTGGGTACCTATGGTATGGCCAGCGCCCAACTTTATTGGGGCAGAATGGCGGCACTCCTCCTCAGACTATGCTACATGGTGTTTCCACACATAGACTGGGGCTTTGTGTTTGTGGATGATTTTTGCTGGCTCCTCAGAACGGACTCCGCCACTGAGGATACGGCAAAACTACTTCTCTTCTTAGCAGCCATGGGGTGCCCCCTCAGTTGGCACAAGACGGTGTTATCTGAGGTCAACACCTGGTTAGGTTTCCAGGTCAACCCATGCGGACCAGTGGTAGACTTCCCTCCAGATAAGAGGAAGACACTTGAGGCACTCCTCCAGACCATCGCGGCTGGCAACACCTTCACGGTAAAGGAGATTGAGAGAGCATTGGGACGATTAAATTGGGCAACGGCAGCTTGGCCCCTCAGCCGCCCTTTTCTTCAACCATTTTGGGCATGGAAATCCGCGACGACTACTTCAGGGAAGCCCGGCAAGCTCATACGATCCTTTGCGAAGCTTCTCCTCCAGCTGCTCCACAACCCCCAGATCCAACCCTGCCCTTACGACCCTGCCTCCAATTGGTGGGGTGCCAGTGATGCTAGTGCACACCCGGATGATGGGGCCTACATTGGGGGGTGGATTGCAAACTGTGAGAACCCGTCAAAGGAACAGACCTGGTGGTTCCATTACAAGATACCCCTTGAAGACCATCCATGGGCTCACAAGGATGGTGATCCAACCAGACGCATTGCGACCCTCGAGATGTTTGGCACATTGATCCTCACCCACTTCCTTTTGGCCTTGGGTGGGAAATCTCTGCTCCGTACCCGTCTCAGCCTCATTTCAGACAATCAAGGCAATGTCTTTGCCCTGTTGAACCAGAAGACGAAGCATATGCCTACCTCAGCCTTCCTAATGCAGCTCATCGCCATGCTCTATGTTGCTGGGGTTCAATTGGCGCCTTCACACATGAAGCGGGACTACAACAAGTGGGCGGACGAACTCACCCACCCGAACTTCACTGGTTTTCATCCTGATCGACAACTACCAGTGAGTGAAGCTTTTTCTCATTTTAAATTTCTCTGGGCTCTTCTGGATGACCAGATGAGTGTCCCCACTTTTTCAGGAAATTCAAAACGTCGTAAGACCGATTCTCACGCCACCTAAGGTCCTTCGGGAGCCAGGTGGTTGCGGCTGACTTTATGGTGTACAGTGGTGTTTTCCCACCTACAACCCCTCTTTTTCCCTTCTTACTTGCGCGAGCTTCACGCTCCGGCGGGTTGGGTGGATTTTGACGTGTGACACCACCACTGCAGTTCAGAGTTTCTGTGAAACCATTTGTGATAGATGCGATTGGCATCTGACAGAGACACAGCCGCAAAGCCAACTGCATAACAAAAGGTGCTGACTGATCGATGCAGTTGCTTTGTTCCGTTTCTGTCATTTTCAATTCTATTCGGGAACACATAATGATATATAAATAACCATAGTTATATCCAAATAACCATAGTTAACCATAGTTAATAGATAACCATAGTTAAAAGACAAGATTATATCCAACTGATGGAGGTCATTATCAAAATCCCGAGGGACCACCACTTTCCGTGTGTAGGCCCTACATTTGGGAGGACTTCGCAACTACAGAAGAGGTGGACACGGATTACTCACCATGACGGTTCTTGTCGCAAAAAAACAAAAGATGGATGCCCACCACACGTGCTGAAATTTAGGGGAGTTACTGTCTGGAATTCCAGTTTTCTTTTCCAACTCGCAAGCGGTTTCATGTCAACATGGAATGGTCGAAGCGTTTTTTTTGTCCGGCCATGTGCGTTCCTTCCTTTGCGTTCCATGGTTCAAAGGATTCAAAGGATGAAGAAATTGAAAATTGAAGGTCAGGACGTTTAAGTTTGATTTATGCTTTGATTTCTTCCAAGTGTTCGATAAAGTTTCAAAAACTGCCGAAAAACAGGTGTTGTTTAAAGTGCCATCTTGAAAGCAAAAAGTGTGGAATGGTGAAAGCAGCTTTTGAGTTGGATATGGAGCTATGAAGTGTTTAGAAACAATATGGAAAGCAGCAAATTGAAGAATCGTGATAGCACCCTTAGGGCGCCCAAATTAAACCCCAACAGATATCTTGGGATCCATTCTGATCCAATGGTTTAATTCCGCTTAGAATGTTCACTACAAACCGATGTGAATCCATGTGAATCCTATCCAAAATTGTTTCATATAGGTGCTCATTTGATGTCAACAAAATCAAGAAAGTTCTTTGTGGCAAAAGGATGCAAAAGGCTGTTTTTCTCGAGACTTGAAGCATCTTGAACCCATCTTTTTTTGGTAGGGTTGATGGGTTGGGTGTGCAATGTCTGAATCCATTTCCCTCGGTATTTTGGGAAAATTCGTCCACTGATTTGTGAAAATGCTAGTCTAGTTCCGTATGATACAAAAGGCAGGAACCCAAATATGATCCAAGATTAAGAAAGAGGTAGAAAGACCGAAAGACCATATGAAAGATATGAAAGACCATAGCAAACAGCTCGCATGACTGAAAGGCGCTACTTCAAAGGGTTTTGATTTACCTCACTGGCCTCGCTTTGTCAGAGTAGCTGGGGGAATGACCCGACAAAAAAGGTATGGCTGGCATGATGTTGTCATATCCAAACAAATGAAAAAACATTCGCACATTATGTAGGTTATAAGTTATAACCATATAGGTGTCAATTCATACGCCACATATCTATCATCTATCTAACATCTATCTATCATAGATCTATCACTATCATCCATACATAGTATATAATATATATATATAATACATATATATATAATATATATAATATACACATGTTTTAGGTAAGACAAATGGCCCCTTCCCCTTGCTGGTAGGTCAAGCAGGCCCACAGTGAGTTGGAAGCCTTGCGTGAGTTTTTGGGCCGCGTTCGGAAAGGATCGCCTTGTTGATTGGTTTTTGTTCAGGGGATTTGACCATCAAATATATGTGGCTGGTTGGTGGTTTGGAACATTTTTTATTTTCCATAATATATGGGATAATCCTTCCCACTGACTAATATTTTTCAGAGGGGTTGAAACCACCAATTTCTCCAATTTCACAGGCGCACCAGCTTAGTACACGAAGCAAGTGCTTGTCACTGCAACATGCTATGTAGTCCCAGGAAACCTTCGGTCAAACCTGGGAACCGGGAGATGATCAAGTTCTTTCGATTGTCGTCTGAAGGGTCTGCAGGAAAAGGAAAGAAACCACCTGTCCACTGCATGCAGTCGGTCACCTGGCCAAGGAAGAGCTAAACAACTGCAGTGCATAGCAATCATTTCACAATGCGGTCTTACGTAAGCTGAAGCAATCTTAACTCCAGAGTGCCGCAAAATCTCTCTGAAAACCTTGGCAAATGATCGAACACGGCATTTGAATCCAACATTCCTCAGCCCTTGCAAAGGCAGCGCAGAGCAATCTTTCCAACCCCCAATATTCAAGGGTCCAACCTCTCCAGTAGACAATGCAAAATCCACGAAAAGTTGAGCATAGGAGACCCACAGGCAAGGCGAAGGCGAATCTTTTGCCACAGGCCAAAACCATGACACAATTTTCTGAACCATACCCAGACCATACCAACGAACCGCACCTGAAGGCAATTCATCAAGGACTGGCAAGGGCTGCCAAACAGGAACTCTATCATCAGGCATAGGAACAAGCTCCATGTCACCATCATGCGTAACTTTTGCATCCAAAACCTGCTTACTGACCGAGAGTAGAACACTCTGAATCTGAGCGTTCCACGAGTCAATTTTCACACACGCAGCTGTGTGTCGAGCCAGCAAGTCCCAGAAATATGCCGGACGATGATCTTGAGCCTTTGCTGCAGCATGATCTGCAAATTGATTATGTAGGAAACACCATTCCTCAAGAGGGGTTTGAGCCTCTTCCAACCTACGATGCGCTGCAACTTTGGTACAATGCACCACACACTGAGCATGATCCAAGTCATTCTGAATCTGCATCCAAAGGTCAGAATTAGGTGAATTAATCTTCACTCTAGCACCACCCAAGATCCTCCGTAGTCTCCTAACCACCGATAAGCAATCTGTCCATATCATGACTTGCAGACTGTGAATGGCAGCCAGACGAATAACCCTGTGCACTGCAAAAAGTTCAGCTCGAACAGAAGTCTGTCGCAAACCAGGAAGTGCTCCACTCTCCAAAACTTTAGACGGCCAAACCATTGCTGGATCAGCAGTCACAATGGCGTATGAGGCAAATCTGGCATCAGGATACGCAGGATTGCAACAGCTACCATCAGTGAAGACATGCAAGGTTTCACCACTGAAAGGGGGGGGTTTTGGCACCTCCCCACACCGAACCTGATGAAGGAAACTGTACCACTCACGACTGGTGGAGGGACGTAAAGCCCATCCATACCCTGTTACACACTCCGGAAGCTCTGGCAGGGCAGCAAAAAGTTCATCAGACACAGCAGTCCGACAATCCTGAAAGGCAGGGCAGATCCAAAATCGATGATATCTAGAGTCGACACTCAAACAGAATTCACATATGTCAGAGTCGCTTTCCTGGCAATAATGCTTCCCATCTTGCGTAATGTGAGCACCATTCAACAGTTTCCGATAAACTGCTCTGTCAGCGGGAGGAAGAGAGGCTAGCCATCTTCGTGTTTTACCTGGATCAACCCTATCAAGCTCAGAAAAACCTGGTCTATGAGAGACACCAGCTGACACAACTTTAAGCCAGGACCACTCCATCCGCCATCGCAGCTCTTCAATACAAATGTCAAAAAGGGAGAACGAGCCGAAGTCATCAACCAAACTCGAAGCACTTAAAACATGCCATCCCAAGATTTGCAGTCTTGTAAGTAAAGTAGCAGTAATGCCATTGTGCATAACACCGTCAACATCATGGACCAATGCACTTAGAGCACTTCCAACCACATCAGCAATCCCGCAATCACGTACCAGTCGAACTGTTTGCAGAATGGTCCAAAAAATGAGGATCAGTGGTTGGTTGCTCAATAAGGCCAAGGTGAATCATAGCATTACAACCCGCTCCTGCAGCATTAAGCCCCTTCATGGCCGCAGATCTCAATGATGAGAATGTTTGAGATGCAATGGTGGTGGCTGCAATTGCGTGCAGCCCTCTTGGCCAGGCTGCAGCCCGGATGGCACGCACCTTCAGCTCATATGGAGAAGCCGAAAGTTTCAACCTTGACCACATTGCCTGCATTGCATCAATACGTTTCATTTGAGTATCATTAGTGTGCTTATGAGAGATTTGAACATGAGCACCCAACACGCGGCAACTATTCTGGAGCTTAAATCCCTGGGAAGCCAGCACTTTCCTACCTTCACCACAAACCGACCAGGCAAATGTTTTCTTAGCATCCAATAGCATGTCAAGAGCCTCCGTGAACTGAATCAGACATCGTTGAATCCCCTCCAACATACCAGGTGAAGTAGTGAGGATGGTCCAATCATCTACGTACGAGACTGGCTGACACAGCGGGAAAAAGTGCACGTGCCATGCATGGAATAAAACATCAATGATGAGCATACCAAGGCAAGATAGGCCATCACCTTCAGGCATGCCAGTAGAACTATACACCGTGTTGGTCAAGTTTGGACCCAGTTGAAATCGCCGACCAACCTTGGTAAGGGCACCAGCCCAAGCAGTGAGCATTGGCATGGGGAGCCCCAAAAGAGCCGCAGCCTCAAACACAACAATTCGTGGGATATGATTGAAAGCCTTCTGCAAATCTGCAATCAAGCCTGTGAGCGCAACCCCATGAGAAACTGCTGACTCAACCGCCCAGAGTAGCTGACTCCAGACCTGCCCTGCAAATCGAGCAGGGCGACATCCATACAGTGCATCAGGTAAGTAACGATCCAAGGCACGAATCGCATGTTGAGCTTGATAGGAGCTCCAGATTCTGTACAACATACCCAAAATGGTAACGGGGCGGTAGTCACCAACTGTACTCGGATGCTCTGTTTTCGCCAAGCAAACAACCTTACCCTGAAGCAGCTGACTGGGCCAATCACCAGTGGCCTCGGCTTCTGCAAACATATCACAAAAGGCTGCATGGACATTGAATGGCATGTGTTGCAAGTCACAAACTGTAACTCCATCCAACCCACCTGCAGATTTACGACGCTTCTGTCCAATAATCTGAGTTAATTTGGATGCATCCAGAGAGGGCCAGCTCATTGGAATTGGTCTTAACTTCTGCCGTGCCGTGCAAAGGAAAGAATTGTATGCCACCGGTCATAGGGAACACCTTTATGCCTATCCCAGCGGGCTTGCCATGCATCAACAAAAGCACTCTCTAACTCTTGCTTGGATCCGGTACATCTGAGCTGCGCAACAACAGAGCCGATGTCAATGTGATCAACAGAATCAAGCCACAGGCAATCAGGTTCTGCATGGATAACTGAAAGACACCGACCCTGACACATTACAGATTGATCTGGTATCCAAAACTGCGGGGGATCAACCACAATTGAGCAATCCTCATTCCTGACCTCAGTAACACATGCTGTCATCGGCTGCAGCAGGTAATCAACACCATTCGCAGGCACATGTTTTAAATCACGAAAGATCATATTTGGCATCTGGGCACGGCGCAGTCTGGCATACTGCCTAGAGTTGGACTTCAGCTGTTTTTCAAACTCACGCACATTCATCACCAGGGAATCAAATATGGTCAGGGCAACAGCCTTAACAGGGGGCAACCAGGGCATGCAAACAGGAGCCCCATGAACCTTAAGTTTACAAACTTTCCACCAATCAGGAAAGCCCCCCACAAAACCATGAGCTCTGAGAATGGAACCCCAAACCATGGACGAGTGCTGACTAGGGATTCCATCATCAGTTCGACTGCGACAGAAGGCTTGCAGTCTTCTGACTTGTCTCACCCATTGAGAATATCTCACTGAAGAACCATGAAAATGCGGCTGAAACTCACCATTGCGACCCATCTTGATGTGGGGCAACAGCCCAGACTTGACCGACCGAGTAGACATCGTTTGAGCTCGACCACGAACCTGTTTTCCAACAGAGAAGGGCAAATGTGCAATGGCTTCAGCTTCAATTGTAGACCACAGTTGAGCATATCGGACATCAACACCACCATCAAGTGTAGCCCAAAAGTCAGCAGGCAAGTCCCAATGGGCAGGCCAAGGCAGAGGTCTGGGAGAAGGCCAAATGTCCCTAGGAACCGACTGACTCAATCTATAAAAATGCCCTTGAATGACGGAGTGGTCTGGCCACAGATCATCAATAATTGACACACTGAGCAACAGTTCTTGCAATTCAGGAGATACATAGCAGAAATCCTTTCTCGTACGAGACTTGCACGTCATTTTGGGTGAAATCCCCCACCTTTCAGTGGCTAGATCCTGGAGGTCTTTGAAACCAAGCTGAGCCAGAGCATCAAATGCAGGCAGCTCCCCTTGACCAACATTCCAATCCCCCGCGATGAAGCGGGGACCAGAGGAAAGATATCCCACTGAAGCAATGGCTGCTTGCAACAACGCTTCGGTATGCTGCAAGCGAAGTGGGTAGTGTTTACTATCAGGTTCACCATACACAACAGAGCCAGTCAGCCAAAAACTATCAATCAAGGAGGTCATGATCATGATGCGAGACGACTGAGCAATTTCTGTAGGCCAATCTTGTGGAACATGCCGTACTGGTGTACGTGACAAGACTCCTACCCCCTTCCATGCACCTGTATTGTCTCGGGACACCGGAACTGGAAAACCTCCAATCATAGGAGCAAAAGGCGACTCAGCAAACTTCAATCCTGCATTGAAAGAACTTAATTCCCGGGAACATAAATGCGTTTCACTAAATGCCCACATATCCCCATGAGCCATCTGTGATGCAACAAAAGGAGCTTTACTACGCAAACCAGATGGATTTGCTGTACCCAGCACAAAAATGGCATCATCTGGGCCAGGATTGGCAGCTTCTCCAAACCTAACCACCGGCATAAATACCATCAAGGCAACCAGTCTGGACCAAGGATTCTGAACATTGAACGATCCAGCAGAGATAACAACACCCCAAAATTGCAAAACAGGGCAAAGGCCAATGAACCAAATCCAAATCATTCCAATCCAAGCAGAAAGAAAACGCAGGAACCGGAAGCACTGGCCATGCCCACCCCATCATTCTCCATCCTCTCTGGGTCTCTTAGCCAAAAGGCCTCGAATGTGATTCAATTGGTTTTCGAACATAGCTTGAATACTTTGATTCTGCGATTCAATCTGTCCCTGAAGCTGATGCGACTGGACTGAGATCTGAGATTGCAATGAGGCAGTGCTCTGAACTTGCTGTTGAGAAAGCTCCTGCACTTGACCATCAATGTGAACCTGCTTCTGCATCAGCTGCTGGACCTGATCTTCAAGAAGGCCAAGTCTGTCAGGCACATCATCCTGTTCCATCGGCTGAGGGAGCTTGGCCATAATCGAAGCTTGAATTCGAGATTCAATTTGCTGGACACTTTCAGCAGCTGTCGGGCCAGGCCTGGGGGCAGTCACCGGATGAAACTTGCCCCAAGGATCATGTTTCGTCCAGGGATCTTCATCTTTAGTCCCTCCACCACACAGCGCAAGGGTTGAGGCAGAGGCAATCGGGTGTGGAATGTCATGTCTGTCAATGGTATCACCATTCTTCTGCTTGGTGATCAAGATCTCACCATGACTGGTGTGCACTATGGAATTGGGTGGTTCCTCAACAGCCTGAACCACCCACATGGCACCCCGCCCAGGCTGTGGGGTTGCTGGCTGAAGCGGTTTACACTGCCATTGAACATGTTTCATGGCACGACTGATTCCCTGGCGATCAAGTCCAAAAGGAAAAGGGCCCACAATGTAATTAGTCCTGGCACCAGGAGGCAAGAAAAGGGAGTCAGGCCTCACTGCTTTATGAACCTCCTGTGCTTGCTCAGCAGAGACTCTCAGCCCCCTGCGATCACTGACTCGAGCCAATCCTACCACCGCTGGATTGGTTTGTTTGAGATGAGCCAAATCCTGCAAAGGCATTTTCCCAGTCCAAATGACCATGTACTCTTGAAGAACTCTTTGCCCATCAGCAGAGCGAGGTTCAACGTAGGCACCCGCACTGCCACTTCGATTCAAAATGCGTTCCAACAAGCATGCTGGCAACCGAATGGAAACACAAAACAGGTCAGCTTTGGCTGCTTCGACTGGTTTGAATCCAAATCGAACAAATTGTCTTTTCCATAGATCCAAGATTGGCTCACGGATTGGAAGCTCTTCAGTGTTGTGCCAAGCATTGCAGGTGCATCCAGTAGTCATACATCGTTTGAGTTCTGGGAACAGGGCAACAACATACCTGACAGGGGCCTTGACCAACATATCCCAATCCTCTATTTCATCACGGAAGACAGAGACTCGAATGGTAGGGACATCAGGGGAATCCAACGAAACTAGGTCATTCCCAACAAACTTCTCAACCGTTTTGGCTCCAATCTGAATCAAAGTAGCTTCGGCAAGCACTGGTTCATTATCAATCAAACATCTGCAAGGCACAGTGACCCTGCTCTGGGCAAGCATGGACTGCAGTGTAAAATCAGCGCGATGAAATACCACCAGGGCAAGCGGCTCTTGGGAAACCAACACTCCAGCTTTCAGGTAAGGTTCAGCCTCTTGAGGGGTCATCAAGACTACACCAGAACTAAGGGGCCCAATTTGCTGCATGGTGAGCTGCGGCAAAACCTGCTGTTGACAACGAAATGTGCCTTCCAACACCACTAGGCGACTTGGATCAAGCTCAACAGGCAAGGGAAACCCAGGAGTTTTGTGCACTTTGCCGGATTTCTTGCCAACTGTTTTGCCCTTGTTTTGGGCAATGCACGCATCAAGCTCAGCTGGAAGGACCAACTTAAAGCTAACATTGCTGGCCAAAGCTTTCAAATGCCTCCAGACTTGCTTCTGTTGCAATGCATGCTGAAGTTGCTCACTACCAATGGCTTTAATGGCTTGGGAGGCCCGCTGTTCAGATAGGTTCTCAGGCACCCCATGCAAGCAAAGTTCTGCAGACAGCGATTTCACAAGAGCACCAGTGCCTCCAGATCCCCACACGGAGGGACAGAAACATGTGGTTCCCTCATGCATTGCTTGGACAAACGAGGCTCTCATGTTGACACGCATAGCATCAAGCTCAACCAAATCAGTGGGCAATTCCGCTTGCAGCAACACATGGGCCAGGAAAGCCAGGGCATGCGCTCCACACATATCATGGGAAGGAAGGCCATGCGGAATTTTGTGAATCACTACTTCCTCAAAGCCAAGGTGAAGACCCATCCATCGAAGTTTCCCATCAAAAAATATCGTAATCAACGATATCATCGAAGGTGTGAATCACCAGCACCATCCCTCCAGGCACAAACCACAAAGGAAGCCAATGAGTACCTTCAAGGACCACAGCGACAATTTGATGACCCTTCTCTTTCACCTGCGGAAATCCTTGGCACCATTTCTCAGTAAGAATGTGCCCAACCTCATCCCAGTTCATGAAGTTCAAACTTTCAAATCCCAACACGATAGGGAGAATTTCTCGACCAACCATGATGCGTGCTCCCCTCTGCTTCAAAAGGGTGGACAGATGGAATCTGATTTCATCGTCACCCATGGCTTTTGCATGCTGTGCAAAAAGTTCAATGCGGGCATCAAGCTCAATACATGTGTGGGACGAAGACGGCACAGTCGGGAGGGGATCCCCCAAAGCAGCTGCTCCACTTCGCAAACCAGAGTCTGCTGCCTCATCATCTGAGACCCATTCTCTTTCAGTGACTTCGTCATCACTCTCACCAGATGCCCAAACCCATGGTCTACTCACCATAGTTTCATTCAGCAATGTCAGTCTGAAGAACTCTCGGAACTGTGCATGCTGACCCCAAACTTGAGCATAGGTCACTGCCAATGGGCAACCAAGCAAACCATGACGTAGGAAATCAATGGCACTTGCACCACATGCAGAGTGGCAAACAAAATTAGGCATCTCATGATGGAATCGGATCCCACCAAAGCCGAGTTCAGTAGCAATGTCAACAAACATGTTCACCAGTCGGGCAGGAATTTGCACTTGACGATGACTCAGACTGATTGTGACATGATCACCTTCAGGAATAAAAAGGACAGGAAACCAATGATTGTCCCATTTGAAGACTCCAATGATCTTGGTCTGATTGACCCAAACATCAGGTTGAGATCTGGCCCACTGTACACACGACAGCGAACGTCCATCAAACCAGGAGGAGAAGCGCAAAGGATCAATGACCAAAGGACGCTGGAAATCCCCATCTATCATCCCCTGAGCAGCACAGGTCATGGCCAATTCATGCAAATGAAAACGAAGTTCATCATCCGCCCAAATGCCAAATTGACGCACTAAAATGGCAAGACGGTCTTGAACAGAAATCAACTGGGAGCGCAACCAACCTAGTTGATGCAAACTGTCAATAACAGGGACCTGAAGACCACGCATTCTCTGACAATCAAGCAGCACAAGTTGCTGCAACAGCACCGAATCAGAAACCAAAGCAAGCTCATCACGAACATGGTCATCCTGAGACGAAGAAGGCTCAACTGACTCAGGCGTGTCAGGTGAAAATTGAACAGTGGAAGTTACATTGGATCTTGTCTCCCTGGTCAGAGACTCAATCACCGCTCTAACTTGCTCGGATCGGGTGGGCATTCTAGGGAGTAGCCCACATTCCCCTGCATTGTTGAGTGGCTGCCGAAGGTCATCCTCGGCATCACCACTCCCCCAGATCCACGGTCTCAGGGCAGTGCCAACATGGCTTAACCCATCTAAAAATCTCTTGCGCAGCATGGAGTGCACCATATCAACTTCACTAGCTACAATAGGAAGCATAGTTCCATGTAAGGCTCCATGAAGGAAATGAATGGCCATGGCACCACATTTCGAAGAGACAGGGAACAATCTCTGCTGTCGAGTGATCAAAACCGAATTGAAACCCAAGGCCTTGCCAATATGTTCCAAGACTTGATTGAAACGTTCATGTCCATGACTGGGGGCATCCCAGGTAAAGACATTGGCATGTGTCCCACAAGGAACAAACTGGAATGGAATCCAATGCATCTCCAATCTACCAGTCCCAATCACTTGAATACTACTTCTCAGAACTTCAGCATGACCTTTGGCCCATACCTCAATAGGGTAGCCACAGCCGCAAATCCATGCACTCATCAAAAGGGGATCAATGACACACACTTGAGCTTTGCTTGAAGCAACAACAGTGGGCAGCCCACAGAACTGATCCACTAGTTGTTTCAAATGGAAAACAATTTCATCATCGGCAAAAAGATCCTGCTGGGAATGAATCAGTTGGATTCTTTCATTCGGGGTGACAATCTGACTTCGCAAGGAAAGCAGCTTAGTGGAATCACCAATACAAGGCACTGCAAGCCGAAGAAACTGTTGTTGCGTCAGTCCAAAGAGAGCATGTACAGAACCCCACAAGGGAGGCATCATGGCAGTTGCAGCTTCTGACCGTTCAATGGCACCATCCTCATTGCAAGGAAGGGTCCAAATGGCAGTTGGTGACACATCACCACCAGCATGTTCAATCCTCCGGGACTGGACTGCATCAGTGACCAAACCATCCTCGGGCAATTCAGGGAGTGGCCCGGATTCCCCTGGCACCCCAGCTGCTTCAGAATGAAAAGGGTCAAGCATATCAGTGTCTTTGGAACCACCAGTATCCATGTCATCAGGCAAAATTGACTGCAAATCAGCTCCTACATGAGACGAAGGAACATCACCACGAAACAATTCCCCCTCACCAGATTTCGACAAGAACACTTGAATGCATTGTCCTTGATCAATGGGGTGATTGAACGGGAGGAAATGCCCCCTCTCATCTGAAATCAGCTGAACTGCAAAGGGCCCGATCAGTCGTGCATGTGCCTGCAAAACATCTGAAATGGTGGACCCTGCCTGAAAGCCAAACTGAACAGAGCTACCATCTGTATCAATGAGCGTCCCACTAGACACAGCAACATTCAGGCACAGATCACACTTGGGATCAGCTATGGGTTGATCATACCAGGGCGTTTCCGGTGCATCAATGGCAGCTGGCACGGATGTCACAGACGGCAAGGAGCTACAAATGATACTATCCAGAACCGCAGCTATGGAAATCATGTCACCCTTCAGGTCTGGCCAGTGACTTGCATGAAGCAACTGTGTGATAGGAACTTCCTTGTAGTCATTCCAGTAATCTACCAAAGCTCGAAGCTGTTTATCAGCAACGATCTCATCATTGCAGGGCCACATGGAAAAACATTTCATAAGCAACCATGATCGAAATGCCACCAACTGTGATTCCGGAGAGAAAAGACATGACCCTGACCGAAGAAGGGACAGTTTGGAGACAAGGAAACTCAGCACCCAAGCTGCTTGCAACGGACTGGCAATCTGTCCAACTCCTGATAACGACAATCGGACATTAAGTCCAAGATCCAACGTGCAATCCATGCCATTGAGTGCAAGGGCCTCATTGGGATGCACATGACGCAAACACGGAGCAGGACCCTGACCACTCTGTGACTGGACCAGTAAACCAAACAAACCCTTTTCTTGCAAGCGCTTCTCAGAAAGTGCAAATCCTCGACAGCCACAAGGACATGGGCGCAATTGAGACCCCCAGGCATGAAGAGCAGTAGGTGCAATCCCTTCTGATGAAAGCATGAACCCAGGATATCTTCCATCTTCAGCCCCAAATGCAATTCTCTCAGCATCATCCAGTGACAAAGCCAACTCATCTCTAGGATCCCATCGGGCAATGTAAGGTATGAGACATTTGACTTTGGGCAAATTGTCAATGGGGGACCACGCTCTCAACCCTACACCTCCTATGCATGGATCAGTCAAAAGCCACCAAGTTCTGGATCTACGGCATGGCCATACCTCATGAAGGTGAAGGTCAATTTGCTCCTTCTTGAACCCAGTTAACGTGGTGAAATGATCAATGCATTGTGAGACAAATTTGTCACTACCAGCTGGGGTGACACATTCAAGTAAAACGGCCTTGCACTGAAGGTAATATGCAGCTTTCAACGCTTTGGGCAAAGAAGCTGCACGAGGGTCTTGGCCGCTTCTTTGATCGCCAAGCTGGCTGAACGGCTGACAGCTGAACCCCGCAGAGAAAATCTGGGCTCCATCCGCCTTCTTCCATGTGTCGGAAATAACTGAAATTTCACCCACATCACCAGTTACAACTTCAGCCCCTGAATGTTTCAAATGCATGTCAGTCATCAACATGTTGGAGTCCACTGCTACGGTAGTGACAATACCTACAGCATTCGCTCCATGGGAGATACCACCGATGCCACAGCAGCCATCTATCATCTTGTGCATGTCAATCCAGTTGGGAGGAGAATGAGAAAGCACCTTTGTTTTCTCCCCAGCTCGAACAACCGGAAAAGGGAATTGTCTAACAACCTCCACTTCACACAGCGTAAATCGAACATATCCTGCAGGAAGCAAACCAGAAAAATAGCAACAGCCCCAGAGTGCACAATTTTCAACTGATGAGCATCATGTGCAGGATCATAGATCAAAGGTTCAACCAACAATGTGATCAGTTGCCCCTTATCGACATTCCCAAATTCCATGGGGTAAGAACCACAGGCCATGGCAGAACAGGATGGTCAAAACGGCTCAAGGGTCAGTAAGTACCAGCAGCACCACTGGGAGGAAACTTGAGCATCACGGCTTGGGTTGAAACCACCAACCAGGTGGTGTAACCAACAGATATCTGGCTGGTTGGTGGTGACTGGAACATGTGGATTATTTTTCCCATTCAGTTGGGAATGGAAAAATCATCCCAACTGACTTTAACTCCATCATTTTTCAGAGGGGTAGGTCAACCAACCAGCTGGGAATATGATGTGGATATAACTTGATATAATTGATAAGTTGTGGGTTTCCCACAACTTATTGGTTAGTTCATAATCCCCGATGGCATTGGATTGTTGCCCAAATTTTGCCATCTCATGAAATACTGGTTGGTGGGTGAGTACTCGATTACTTGGAGGACAAAAATATGGACATCTGAAATTGCCATTTCACGATATGTTCTAGAGATTTGATAAATGTGTGGTTATATATATATGCATATATAATAATATATATATATACTATAGATATAGTTTTTTTGGAAGATGTGGTGGCTTGGATTGACGAATCTTTGGCCATTTCGAGATGTTAATAGAATTGTTTGACAGGTGCAAGAACAACAAAAGAAATGGGTGAATGTTTGCGAGCCATGATTTTCGGGGAAGTGTTGGGGCTGTGCTGGTTTCATCAGTTAAGTTTTACTCAGAGTATCTCAGAGTATCATCTCAAATGTTTGGTCATTTGCATGTACCCTCTGGTAAACTAACATAACTATGCAAAATCACCATTTTTAATGGGAAAATCCACTATAAATGGCCATTTTCAATAGCTACGTTAAATTACCAGAGGGTATGTTCCATGATTTTCCTTTGAAACTTAGTTGGTTCAACTTTGTGTGCCAAAGCCAATAAACCATTTCCATAAACCTACCATAAATATCACAAATGGGTAGATATGGGTATGGATCAATACCTATTAATACCATTTTTAGTGGGATGAACATCCATTTACCAGCTATTTTGATGTGAACTACAGGGGTACTATTGGTTTTGACACACTGCCATATCATCCCCATTCCTACTAGGTCTATGGCATTGGGTTTACCACATCCATTCCGAAAGCAACAACCCAGGCGTGGTGTGTTGACGTCTGCCAACAGTGATACCACTGGGAAGCAGAAGGCCGCAGGGCCCGGAACGGGGGACAGCACTGAAGATGGCTCTCAAAGTCGTAGATCTTTTAACATTTGTGTCCTAAGTATTTGTCTTCACTGGATGTGGGAAGGATGGGGAAGATGTATATCCTTGATGTTCTATATTTGTCTCAAATACCGGCAAAAAAAAGACTGTGTGCTCCAGAAATTTTATCTGAAATGCCGTGCGATGTCGGCAGCCCACTACGGCCCTTTTTTATGGAAAGGACTTGGAAATAGTCGATGTTTAAGGCGAACAACGTTGTCGCTTGAACAACATTCTTGGGCTAACATACAGTATATTAATAGATATTAACGCATATTGATAGATATTACTAGATATTAATAAATATTAATAGATACACCCTGTATATATATATATATATACAATTATATATATAATATATATATATATAATATATATATATATATATAATATATATATATCCCCGTCTGAATTACCTCTAGGAAATGGGTTCACCCTAGCGCGCGATGTTTGAGCATTTTCTACGGAAACGTTTTTTGAAAGTTTCATTTTCTAGAGAAATCAGATTTTGTTGTTTTTTTGGTCGATTTTTTTGTTCGAGATTGTGTTCTCTTCCACATAATTTTCTAGAGTATACATCTGACAAAAACGCTCCGACCTTCTTCAAGTGACAAGATACACTACATCATTTTCCAGAAGAATATCCATCATGTTGAATCAGATTCAATTTTCTAGTGGTCAGTCATAACAAAGGTCAAAAATACTATTTTCTAGAAAAGAATTGACAAAAATCCTATTGAATTCAAACCATCGCATTTTCTAGAAGTGGTATTTGCATTTTTTTTGCAACATCATTTTCTAGACATTAGAGATCTCATTTCCTAGACATTGGAGATCTACAATTATATATAAATATCCTGTAGTCCTGTAGAGCCATTTTTTCAATGGGAATTTCAGGATCCTAAAATGGAGGTACTGTACTATATAAGGCCATATTGGGGATATATGAAATTTCGGCCTGAAAAATAGGCACTATCTATCTATCTATATATATATATATATGCGGTAGGTACCTCCAATAAATTGGTTCCTGTTGTATGGCCTTTGATTTTTTTTCCAGAGATGAGCCATGGGAAAATCGGCAGGCACGTAGCGATAAGGTCGGGTTCCTTGAGGTGGCCAAAAATTCGGGGAGCCGAACGGATGGGTAGACAGCGGAATGGAATATGAGCAGGGGTTGGTAAAGAATGTCCGAATCTTTGGATTGGTTTAGTTGAGAAAAATTGCCGGACAAGCCATGGAAAAGCCCATAGGAATCATAGGAAAAATCATGGTTTCCTCTAGATTTTCCGTTAAACCTAATAAAAAATTGCCCAACTACTGGGGATATAATCTGATATGTTGGTGAAATTTGGTAAAAATTACCCAACTATTGGGGATATGTTGGTAAAAAAATATCCTCTAATGAAACATCACCCAAGTATTGGGGATATGTTTGTTAAAACATGTCCTTTCATTAAACATCACCCAACCATTGGGGATATAATCTTCAACAGATACTTTTTCAGGTGATGTTTTTTCAAATCCCAAAAAGGGACATTTACCAACCCCTGGTGAATCATCGAGAATCATCCAAAATGGCAGAAGATATGAGAGATGGAATATGAATGAATGAATATATATATATTATATATATAAGATGTATAGATTCTGAATCATCCTTAAGATATCTTAAAATGGAATGTGTACAACCAGATCCGGAACCCCCAAGACACCAAACAAATGCGAGTTGAAGCAGGATCAAGGTCGTTTGTCCAGTTGACACATAGAAACATGGTCACTCTTTAGTATAAAATCAAACATGGCAATGGGGAATTCCAATCCTTTACAGGAAAGCCATTCAATCTATACTGTGGATGGAATGATTATTCGATTGATGGTTTCAAGCATCGTTCGTTTTCAACCCAAATTCTTTTGCTATAATCCTTATTCAGTGACTCTAACATACTCTATCATTGTTCAGGGAGTTTGAAACCACCAAGCAGTTTTGGATGTTGAATGACGATTTTTGAGGTTCCGAACCACCAGATGTTGCTTGAAGAACAGCTGGCCGGGACGACGACCCAAAAAAACATACCGCTGAAGCAGCCAGAAAATCTGGTCATCTGCTGGTCATTTTGTCTATTCTACTCCATTATGAGTACACACGTCCCAGTTCATCAAAGATCATGACAGATCAATTTAAATCTTCTTTGGTTACATGAAATTTACATAGCTATAGGATGCTAGGCCCCTTAAATTCCGCACGACATGGTTTTGAGGCATATGTCTTGCTGTTTTCAACATTTTTCAACCTTCTCTTGTCAGTTTGAAACTGTTCTTGTGGTTATGGTTGGATGTTATTGGATCTATGATGGATATTGTTGGACGGTTGCTGTTACTGTTCTTATTGGATGGTTATTTGAAACTGTTCCATGATCTTACCCTCTGGTAATTCAACATAGCTATTGAAAATTGCCCATAGAAATAGTTCATTTACCTATTAAGAATGGTGACTTTCACTAGTTATGTTAGTTTAACAGAGGGTAAACCTCCATTTTCCTAGGGTTTTCCTATGGTTTTCCCATTAAAACCTCCATTTTCCTATGTGGTTGGTGGTGTTCTTTCTATGTGCCAACCTATGTCATCAACCGACTGGGAGGATGATCCCCAGTGACCAGCTGTGGCCAGATTCGACGCGACGCGACTCCATCGCCTTGCATGAAGCTCTTCCATCGCATGGAGGCCTTAAAAAGTGGCGGAAAATGGACGGTTTATGGATGGTTTATGGATGGTGAATGGAGTGCCTTCAAAATCCGATTTGTTGGGATATCTAGTATGTAAATCCGATGAGAAGTCGGTAGTCGGTGCAGTCGAAAATGCGCAAAGTTGGACTGTCTCCAGCGACAAGTCTTCCCAACGAAACTGGTGGATTTGAAGCAAGCTGAATCCAAGAAATCTCGGGACACCAACGAAGATAATATCAGATATGTGCCAAAGTTGGATCATATACCCATCTTGGAGGATGGTCATGATATGTCATGATCAGAAACCGTGTCATGTTTTGAACTGTTTTGGCCCTACAGATCCTACATTGCAGACATTGCCAATGCAGTCCAAACATCCCACCAATGAGAAGGACGACTAAAAAACCCTACGATGTATGGCCCCCCTGTTGCTAAGTGGATAAGCTGAAGTAGCTATACCCTAGTTACGCACGAGTTATTAACCAGTTACTAGTTGGGATACATTGGGATACACCAAGTAGGCGTCATGATGGTGAGCCCCTGCGAATCGTCAAGGCAGCAGTTGGAACACTCTCGTGGTCCGATGGAGGCAGCAACCATGAGCTGGTAAAAAAAGGGGATTTCTATGGGGATTGGTCAAAAATTAAGCCCGGCACCAGAGATTTTCGTGTATCTTTAGCATTAACCATCGAAATTGTTGGAGTACCCAAGTTTGACCTGTAGCCATGTTCGTATCAACCATCGTATGGGAATCCAATTGGTCTTGAAGCCTGCTCAAGTGCCAATCTTCCCCCTATCCTTCACCAACCACCATGCCATTTCCGGTTGGGGTGATCTATTCTATTCCATCCTGGCACCGATCCTGGTATCCCATTGACTATTTCGGGGCTCAACATGGCTCCACCAACCGGCTAGGTTAATCCGATTTACCCTCTGGTAATGACTAACATAGCTATTGAAAATGACCATTTTTAATGGATTTACCCATTGAAAATGGTGATTTTCCATAGTTATGTGAAATTACCAGAGGGTAATCCGATTTACAGTAACTGACTGATCATGTTTTTTTTGGTGAACGAACTCCCCCTTTTTGTTCATTAACCATTCGACAATGGCACCCACATGGCATGCGGCATGCGTTTTGGCGCACCAGGCCCCTTGCTATGTCCAAAGTTTGGCATGGCCGCTGTAGCTGGACCGGAGAAGGGGTGGAAAATTATGGATCTTTGGGGTTACTAACAGTTCGCCATGGTTTGTTGATGGCCCTAATCGAAATAGAGGTTTACCGAACTTAAAAATGGATGGATGTTCCTTGGCTATGTTAGTCATAACCAGATGGTAGGTGTATGTATATATAGATATTAGATATATGATGATGGAAAATGCATAAATTGCTTTTGGGGAGTCCAAGTTTGGGGACAACTATGGACAACTCCATGTGAGGGAATGGTCCAGTTCCAGTAGTTGGATTGGAGAAAAAACAGTTTTTGGGGATGGGAACAAGCAATCCATGTTTATTGGGATTTAATTAGATTACCCGTTATGCTTGGATTATCATTATATTATGATGGGATGGATGACCATAAACCATTATATATATATTACATATATAATTATGTATATATATATATATACATGCACAATGTTTTGGCACATTTGTGAGGTTCTTTTCTTGATTTTCCGTTTGAAATAGAGTTACCAACGCTAACGCTGAGAGTTGAGCAAAAGTCGAGAAATCTGGATCCCTCCACGAATCATAAACATGGCTTGGTGGAAAATTCACCATTGATTCCATTGATAGATGATGTTCACAGCTTTAAACCTTCATTTATATAGGGGATTTCGATGGATTTCCCTTTCCATGTTTCATGAAACCGGAGGATAAACGGATATGTAAACCCCTCATTTCCGGATGATTTGCCCATCAAAAGGAGAGCAGCTTGGCTTAGAACATAGCAACTTCACCATGACCTTGCCACCAAAGCGATGGGATCATCAGACCTATATTTATCATGGCCGGAATTTTTTATCCATATGTTTCAGGTTTGGCAAGGATTTTCTGATAAACGTTCTGCTTGGTTCATCATCTCCCAAGCAGAAAACATATTACCGTGGCTGTTTCTGTGGTGAGGTAGGGTATATGTGGCACGAAAAAAACGGTGCTGAAAGGGTTATTGAGAGCATGGGAAGAATGGTTATGGCTACTGAGTCATAGCTGGAGAAATATGTGAGGCGCAAGGAGCTGGTGTGCAGAGTCTTGTCGGATTCTCGAAGCCTATAATTGTCTGATTTTCCAAACAATAACTGGTTGGTGCTTTGGAACCATAAAATTTTGAATGACTTTCCATTCAGTTGCGAATGTCATCATCCCAACTGACTTTCAGTCCATCGTTTTTTCAGAGCGGTCAACCACCAACCAGATGATCATTTATCCCATCATATATCCCATCATATAACCCATATATATAACCACTATGATTGGTATTATAACCACTATTATTATATAATCCCAAGCAATTTTTCATCCAAGATAATGTAGGGGACACCCGGTTCCATCGATCCTGCTTGACTCGCCAAGGTCTACGACGGAGCCGGGAGTTTCTATGCGGCCCATCGCGACAACGAGCGAGCCGGTGAAGGGAAGTGGGTCTCCTGGTCGATGTTTGGGAGATGGACCTTGGAAAGCCATGGGGAGATTGACAAATAGTGGGTTCATCTATGATATCTATATTATCTGATTGGTGGTGACTGGAACTAACATAGCTATTATATGCTAGTATGGTTTATAGGTGATATATCATGATATATCTATATATTGATATCTAAAGTCAACCCCGGATTAATAAACCATGGTTTATTAATTAGGGGGTACTCCTCCAATAGTCATGATATGATACTTAAATGGTACCCTCCCAACTAAACAATCTAGGGGTTTATCACGAAAGGTAGCCTAGGCTACCTGAGTTCTATGTACTTTAGTACTAGTTTAGTACTGGGGGAGGTGGGTGGTCCTTTCCCGGAAATTGAGACCCGAGAGTCACGAACGGAGACTTAGGGGGGGGGGGCCCCGTACGTTCGACACTTGGGAGGCTATATCGCAAGCCAAGAGGCTATGGATCAATACCAATCAACAGGCAGCGAAGCAAACCATAGGCGCAAAATGGACGCAACTGATTCCGCCTGCTTCGGGCCGTAATAGGCTTTCCAGAAAGACATGCCGATGAAGCCGCTGGAACCGCTGGCGCCGATCAGGCCAATTGAGCCGATGAGGCTGCTGGAGCCGCTGAGGCCGATGGAGCCGATGAGGCCGATGAGGCCGATGGAGCCGATGAGGCCGCTGGAGCCGATGAGGCCGATGGAGCCGCTGGAGCCGATGGAGCCGCTGGAGCCGATGACGCCGCTGAGGCCGATGAGGCCGATGGAGCCGCTGGAGCCGATAGAGCCGCTGGAGCCGATGACGCCGATGAGGCCGATGAGGCCGATGAGGCCGATGAGGCCGATGAGGCCGATGAAGCCGATGAGGCCGATGGAGCCGCTGAGGCCGATGAGGCCTGAGGCCGATGAGGCCGATGGAGCCGATGAGGCCGATGAGGCCGATGGAGCCGCTGAGGCCGATGAGGCCGAGGAATGAGGCCGATGGAGCCGATGAGGCCGATGGAGCCGCTGAGGCCGATGAGGCCGCTGAGGCCGATGAGGCCGATGAGGCCGATGGAGCCGCTGGAGCAGCTGGAGCCGATGAGGCCGATGAGGCGAGCCGATGAGGCCGATGGAGCCGCTGGAGCCGTTGAGGCCGATGGAGCCGATGGAGCTTATGAGGCCGATGGACAGGCCGATGGTCAGGCCGATGGACCAGGCGCGCCACAATGCAAAGCACCCATGCTCTGAAAGTGGCGCTTGGCGCCGGAGATAAATCCTATGCAGTATTGCCACTATAAAGAGAGTTGCAGG